CGGGGGGGGGTCCTCTTTGACTTTTCACCCTCATGTCCTAGAGTGTGTCCCCACTCCATTCCACCCCTTAGACTTCTTTCAAGGTCATCCCTCCTTCCCATGCTGATGCCCCTGCTCTGATTCGGGCCACCATCACCTCCCAGCTTCCAGTTTCACCCGTCGTTTCGGAACCCCCTCCTCACCACTGCCAGAATGGTCTTTCCAGAGACATTCCTCAAATGCAATCTCTATTTAAACCTCATAATCAAAACAGATACAAAGACATCTTAACTACAGGATGAAACCCCAAACCCTTAGCTAGACCCATAAGGCCCTGCATGTTCTGGCCCCCACCAAGTCTCTGGCGGTGTGTCGTTCCCCCCGCCCCCCGGCCACACACACACACACACACACACACACACACACACTTCATTAAGCTCAGCTCCTTTCAGCTCCTCCAAAGCTCTTCCTAGCTCTTCGTAGGTCTCAGCAGGTGCAGCTCCTCTATCCAGCTCTTCAGCCTTTAGATCCCAGCAGAAAGGTCGCATTCTTGCAGAGGCATTCCCTGACCCCTCCCAGGTAAATGAGGATCCCTCCTTGGTTTCTCTCCTGCTCGGAATCCGCTGTTCTTCCCCCATACCTCTTGCCAACACATGTCAGAGCTTATGTTTTCATGTGCTTAGTTATTTAATGTCTGCCTCTCCCATAGCCCAAATTCTCCATGCAAATAGGACTGCAGTCTGCCCTGTTCACACTGTACCTCCACACCAGCCCAGGACCGGACATAAAAGTAGACACTTGGTAAGTATTTGTGGAACAAATGAATCTTTCATCTCGTCCTCATCAGAACCCCATTCCCCGGCTTTCTTTCATCTCTGGCCTTTGCAAGAGTTGCTTCCTCTGCCTGGAAGGTTCTTTCCATTCCCTCCCACCTGGGCGGATTCACACGTCATTTAAGATTAATCTCTCTGCAATCTGTCCATGGCCCCCTCATTTGAATTAGGGTTTCCCTCTGGGCCCCCTTGGTACCCTATACATAACACTCCATCCTAACACTTTAAAATTGCAAATTGCCAGCTAAACATGAGAGATATCAACAATAATAATCTATTCTCGCCTCTCCCCCAGACCTCTCCGCAGCAGCTGGCTCAAGGGCATCACTCTCTCTGCCTTTCAAACCATTAGGAGCCCCATTTCCCATTCATTCACTCGGCACTGCTCAGGTGCCCACTGTGTCGCGTTGTTTTCCTTCCGACAGCACTGGGGAGGGAGGGAGGAGGGAAGCCGTGTAGACAGGATTCTCCAAGGGTCAGAGGGAAGCAGGTGAAAGCATCAGAGGTGCTCAGCAAATGCCCAGCCAGGGTGCAAATGGGCACAGAGGAGGCTGGAGGCAGAGGGGTGGACCTAGAGCACTTGGTTCTGCCCACTTCTCTGAGGACCTGCTGTGAACAGAACATGGCTGAGGAGAGGGGTGGGGAACATGGAGAGTGCGCCTGAACAGCAGACACATCACCTCTAGCACAGCTGTTAGTGTGCTTGGTACACAGAGTTTACTGTGTCTAGGATCCGTCTTCCCACTCTGGGAGTGGCTGGAGGACCCTACATTGGGGACAGTTGTCAAACCTCTGCAAACCCAGTGGTCACGTTTTTGTCTCTCCCTTGCCAGGTCTCTCTGCTGTGGCTCATTCCCTCCTTCCTGACACTCCCCACACCCAGGTCCAGAGGCCACCTTCATCATCATCCCCTGGGTGGAGGCAGGGGCTTATGAAATATGTAGTCCTGGGCTCCTGCCTGCCAACTCAGGCTCCCTGGGATGGGACCCCAGAATATGGGCGGTGCACACTGCACCGTGTCCACTCTGCTTGGACCCTGAGCGTGAGAACCCCACTTCTCCTGCGGTTTCAGGGTCAGCCCCACCTGTTCTCCTAGCCCCTGGCTACTTGTTCATCCCTGGGATCCTTTGGGGGTTCTTTTTCTCTGACCACCTTACCTTAAATGCCAGGGTGCCCAGTGCTCCTCTGGCACCCTCCATACCTCCAGCACCCCAGGCTAGACTTTCTCCTGCCCTTGGATCGCCGACAGTACCCAGACTTGACATAGCCAAAGCTGACCTTGCCACCCTCACCCCAGACCCCATCCTCCTCCCACCTATGGCTCCCACCTTGTCAACTATCCAGCCTGTTGCTCAAGCCAGGGAACTGGGTATCACACCTGACTCCCTCTCCCTTCCTGCCTCACCTCACCAACAACCAAATCCTGATCATTTTGCTTCCTAAAGATGCCTTCCTTCTCCCTGCCCCCCCTCCAAACCACTGCATTCATCTCCTGACGATTTCCTCTCCTCTCCCTTCTAGTCCAGGGAATTCTCCAAAAGCTTTTAAAATGCAAATCTAACTATAATCACAGCCCCCTTAAAACCCTTCAAAGATTCCTCATAAACAAAGGTCCCACACCCTTGACCCTCCATCAGCTAGTCCCAGCCTCCCCTCCTCCCGCTCTGTGCTCCGGGAGCAGCAAACTGCTTCAGTTCCAGCCTCCAGACCTTTAGTCATTCAGTGCCCTCTGCCAGGACTAGCCCTTGCCAGGCAGGCTCTTCCTCACACCCGCAGTCTCACCTCCTCCAGGAAGTCATCTCTGACCCTCCCGCCCCTATCCCCCCCCACCCCGCTTCCTCAGCGCATCTGTAATGCCTTCCTTGTTCAAGGATCTGTTATTCCACTCACCACCCTGAGTTATAATTATCGATTTTCATGTCTCTGTTCCACACTTGCCGAAGAGATCCTTGAGGGCAGGGACGGTGTCCCATTCATCTCTATCTCAACCCCTGGCCTGGCGCCTGGCACGGAGGATAGGCTTGGCCAGGAGGTGATGGATAAATACGGGCGGGGGGACTCAAACAAAGTGAGAGGCAGAAATGACCAAGAGGGGAGTGAGGGCAAGCCTGGCAGGAGGAGCAGGCAGAGCAAACGTGTGGGAAGTGGAGAACTGAGAACTTCCGTTTATTGCACTCCTACGACTGCCCGCCAGCCACCGTGCCTGTGCTTTGTTTGCACATTTTCTCTCATTTGGTTCTTGCAAGAACAGATCAGGAAACGGACATCAGAGAACCAAAGTAACCTGCCCAAGGTCACACAGCCAGGTCTGGAACAGAATCTGGGACTGTCTGGCCTGAAAACCTGTGCTCTTTCTTCTGGGCCACACAGCTCTCCTAGGGACAGGACCTTCTGGAAACCAGACAAGGAGTGGGCCCAGCTACGCCCCCTGCCTAGGAGCACCGGAACCAACTGCCCACACTCAGGCCAACAGCTTCTCTCTCCCAGCCGGACCAGAGGCTCAGAGGCCAAAACAAAGATTTGCCTGTTCCTTCCTCCCCTGGCTTTGGGGGGTCTTTGACTAAACATGTACAACCCCCTCTCCCCCACCACCACCAGGAAAGAGCTGTTGCATCTTGGTATAGCCCAGGGTGCCTGGAAATGCAGGGGGCTCTGTGACGCTGCCTGGGTTTTGCAGAATCTGTCTCCCTCATCGCACTTGGCCCAGGCTGATATTAAGATTCATCTGCATTCCCCGCGCACCCGCCTGGCAGATGGTGGGGGAGGAGGCTGGGTGCGTGCCGGGGTTGCAGCCACGGGACCAAGCTGGGCCTCAGAGGGCCACAGAGCAGAGCGCCCACCCACCACGCTCCTTGGGCCCAGGCCAAGCTGGGACCGCTCTGAATGATGGGGTGCCTCCTCACCTTCATAGCCTCCAAGGGGTGCCAGGACTTGACCTTTTATTTTTCTAAAGACTAAAGGGACCCTGAAATTCCAGAAAGGAGACCTGAAGATACAGAGTAGGGGTGATGGAGGATGGGCCCCCATCTTTGGGAATGTCAGATCAGGGTCGTGTTCTTCCTTCTTGCCCTAGAGGTTTGCAGAGACCCCACTGGGACAGGAGCCCCTCTCAGCCTGGAGGCCCCCGTGGTGTAGAGAGGGTAAGTAGTGAAGAATGACGGGACAGCCTCTAGGACAGCCTTGTCCACCTCACTCTCCAGCTTCTCAGGACCTGCCCAGGGCCCCAGAATCCAGCTGGCCCCTAACAGCCTTTTCAGCCCAGGGCCCAGCCAAATGCTTCCTGTCACAGTGACTAGACCTAGACGGTCCAGGGATTATCTCAGCCCCTCCAAGTAAAGTAGAAGAGGGAAGGAACAGACATCGTAATAAAAGGAGTGCAGGCTAGACACCCAGAAGAACTTCCCTCACCACAGGTTTTGGCTCTTAGAATGGGTTTTGAAAAAAAAGGATCTTTCTGAATTCCAGGACTCCTAGGTTGGGGGCAGGGCAGCAGATTCTCGCTGCCCCTCCGGGGAAACGGGCGCTCTGCCAGAGGCGTGGAAACGGTAGGGTCCGTATCCCCTGGCTCTCCCTTCTTCTCCAAGAGTTACTCCGCCCCCGCGTGCGGTCCCCTTCGGGCTGGAGAGCTGGCGTCCTAGGTCCCCGGGCTGCGGGCCGGCAGGGGAGGAGTTAACTCCGGAGGTACCGGCTGGGCTCACTGTACCTGCCGCCGCCGCCGCCGCCGGTGGGAGGGACGAGGAAGCGGGAGCAGCCTGGGCGCCAGGAGCGCTCCAGTCTGGCGGGGCACAGCGCGGGGAGCGGGCGGCCGGGGCTCCGCGCGGCCGGGGGCGTCCGCCAGGGGGCGCGCCGCGACGGGGCGGGAGAACAGCCTGGTCTGGGGAATTAGCACCAGGACGGGCACGCGCGCAGGTCCCCAGCACATCTGGGCGAAAGCGGCGCCGCTGGAGCCGAGGGGGGCGCCGAGCGCAAATCTGGAGCCGCGGAGCCACGGCGCAGCTGGGGCCCTTCGAGGCGCTCGGGGCGCACATCTGGGACCTCGAGTGGGGGCCGCGCCACGCGCAGCTGGACCAGGGGAGGGGGGCGGCGGCAGCACAGCTGGACCGAAGGGGGCGGGGTCGGCCCTGGGCGACCGGCTGAGGGGAGGGCCGCGGGCCGCCGGGGACTGGAGCATGGGACGGCGCGCCTGAAGGAGCAGGAAGGGGACGAAGAGGCCTGGGACCCCGAAAGGAGAAGAGGAGAGCGAGAGGACGAGAGCGGAGGAGGAGGATGCAACTGACTCGCTGCTGCTTCGTGTTCCTGGTGCAGGGCAGCCTCTATCTGGTGAGTGGTCCGCGGGGAGCTGCGCGGAGGGGCGGGGGCCCGGAGGATCGGGGGAGAGCGCGGGAAGCTTGCGAGCCCTGAAACTTTCTCCCTTCCCCCGACATCCCGGGGATGGCGGGGAAGACTGGAGGCTGGGGGAGAGGGCGGGTCCGAGGCCGGAGGCTCGACAGATAGGGTTAATAGGGGCGGGGAGAGGGTGCTTGTCTGGCCCACCCACTCCGCGGCGGGTGGCTGGAGGTGCGACCGGCGCTCGGAAAAAGGCCCGGAGCTGGGTCGCCAGGATTACCCGACCCCTTTCAGGAGCCCCAGGACCTCGGAAGGGGGCCGGGCAGTGGAGCTGGTGACCTGCAGGCTTTTCCCCTGACCTCCGGGATCCAGAGAGCCCGGGCTCTGAGTCCCCCAGAGCGCGGAGCCAGTCCAGGCTGGGGGCGGCCCCCGCGTCCCTCGCTCCCGCCCTCCCTCCCGCTCCCTCCCTCCCCGCCTGTTGTTTTCCTCTCCTCTCCCGGCTGCGCGCAGCCGGAGCCCCACAGGACCTGGGCAGGCGGCTCCCGCCCCGGGCGCTCGCGGCAGCTGAGCGGAGCGCCCAGAGCCCGCTCCCCGTGCACCGGTTCCGCGGCTTCTCGGCGGCCCAGGGCGCAGGGGAACCCCTCCATGAACCCAGCCCGGGGCTAAACTCCCCTCCGACCGAGAGTCCGCCAACCCTCCCGGCAATCCTGTCATGGAGAAGCCTCAGCCCCGCGTCTGGACCTGCCCCTTTAATAAACAAGCCCGTTGCCACCGCCCCATGCTACTGTGGGAAGAGCCTTCCCGTTCTCACGGCCCCACCTGTGGCCCTTTACCCTTCAGCCACGCAGCCGTGACCCCCAGGAGCCAGTACCTTCAGGTCTGCAGCCCTGAGCCAGTCCCCGAACCTCCCCTCCTAGCTGTCCTTCTACCCCACCCCTGGGGCCTGGCAGACAGGGCCAGCCTGAACTGTGGGGCAGAGACAGATTCGGCCACAGTACACAGTGGCTGGCACCACCCAGGCCAGAACACGGGCATGAAGACCCCACAGCCCCTTGGAACTGTATTGTCCCCACTCCAGTGTCACCAAATCCGGATGCTGCCCAGCTGAGCCAGTGCCCCCCGGTGCCAGTGGTAAAGACACCTAGGGCAAGTGGTCCCTTTCAAGAGCTGAGCAGACACACAGCTAGGCTGTGCCCTCAGGAAGCTCTGCCAACCCCGATGCCCCCCACTGCTGTCCCATTCTCCCTGTGGCACCTCCAGGAATCTCCCCAGGTGTGGCTTGTCACCATAGCTGATCCAGCAGAGGGAGGATGAGCCCCTGCAGATTTCAGAGGCGATAAAACCCTTTCAAAAAGACACATCTGGTCTGGGAGGCTGGGAGTGTGGAGTGTAACGGAAGGGATGACCCTATGTGAACTCAGTCTTGTAGTGTTGTAACCTCTGAGCCCGGTGTCCTTATCTGTGAAATGGGAATGAGAGCTACCTCAGAATGCAAGTAACATCTTGGCACGTCATCGTCAGTGTCCCCTGGAGAGGTGTTTGGCTTTCCATTCCCATGGCCATCCTGAGTGTGGCGTTCACTCCCAGTCTCCCCTAGTCCTCTTGCCCACCCTAAAAACTGTATTCATGCTTGAGAATTTCACTGTGTTCTGCTTTCTTATTTCATTGTCTGGTGGTTCTCTTTGCATCTAAGGGTAGAAATTACCCTAGGGTAGGGACGGTGTCTTACCCAACAGACTAGGAAGACCCAAAGGGCAGAGGCTAGCCTCTCCTGTCAAAGCAGGGGCTCTCCCAGGATTTGGATGGTGCTCCCCTATCTGACTCAGGACTCTTTGAGGACGGAGATTATGCCTCCCCCATCAGCCTGGGGATTTCACAGAGGCAGGGATTCCACCTCCTATCAGATCAGGGGCTCTGTCAGCACAGGAATGATGCTTCTGCCATCAGATGGGGGCTCCCTGGGATCAGAAGCTGGACTTCCCCCATCAGTCTGGGGACTCCCTAAGGGTAGGAGCCATTGTCCCTGGTGCCACAGTCCACTGGAAAGAATTATTGTCCATCCTTGAGACTTTGAATCGTGGCCCAGACAGGACAGTGAGGAAAGGACATGAGGGGTGACCTGACTGTCAGAACCTGACATGTATACAACCTAGAGTGTACACTTGCTCCCCAGTTTCAGTAAGCAACGTGCAGGAGCCCCTCACCCAGATCAGAGTGCAGTGGCAGGGAAAGAGGTGATGCTGGTGGGGCTGGGGGTGGACCTCCAGGGACAGGGCTCTCACTGTACTCACGACTCCCTCCACAGGTCATCTGTGGCCAGGATGATGGTCCTCCCGGCTCAGAGGACACTGAGTATGATGACCACGAGGGCCAGCCCCGGCCCCGGGTGCCTCGGAAGCGGGGCCACATCTCACCTAAGTCCCGCCCCATGGCCAATTCCACTCTCCTAGGGTTGCTGGCCCCACCTGGGGAGGCTTGGGGCATTCTTGGGCAGCCCCCCAGTCGCCCAAACCACAGCCCCCCACCGTCAGCCAAAGTGAAGAAAATCTTTGGCTGGGGCGACTTCTACTCCAACATCAAGACGGTGGCCCTGAACCTGCTCGTCACAGGGAAGATTGTGGACCATGGCAACGGGACCTTCAGCGTTCACTTCCGCCACAATGCCACAGGCCAGGGCAACATCTCCATCAGCCTTGTGCCGCCCAGCAAAGCTGTAGAGTTCCACCAGGAACAGCAGATCTTTATCGAAGCCAAGGCCTCCAAAATTTTCAACTGCCGGATGGAGTGGGAGAAGGTAGAACGGGGCCGCCGGACCTCGCTCTGCACCCACGACCCAGCCAAGATCTGCTCCCGAGACCACGCCCAGAGCTCAGCCACCTGGAGCTGCTCCCAGCCCTTCAAAGTCGTCTGTGTCTACATCGCCTTCTACAGCACGGACTATCGGCTGGTCCAGAAGGTGTGCCCAGATTACAACTACCATAGTGATACCCCCTACTACCCATCTGGGTGACCCGGGGCAGGCCACAGAGGCCAGACCAGGGCTAGAAGGACAGGCCTGCCCATGCAGGAGACCATCTGGACACCGGCCAGGGATGGGGTTGAGCCTCAGGCAGGGAGGGGGGTGGAGAGGAGGAGATGCCAAGTGGGGCCAGGGCCAAGTCTCAAGTGGCAGAGAAAGGGCCCCAAGTGCTGGCCCCAACCTGAGGCTGTGGAGCGACTAGATCACAGGAGCACTGGAGGAGGAGCGGGCTGTCTGTAGCTTCACAGGGCCTTGCAACGGAGCCACAGAGAGATGCTGGGCCCGGAGGCCCGAGGGCAGGCCAGTCAGTGTGGCCCCAGATCAAGTCATGGGAGGAACCTAATCCCTTGGTTCTTGCCATCCTGAGGAAGGACACTGACAGGGAGGGGAGATTTCACCAATGTGGACAGCCTGTCAATTTAGGATGGATGGCTGAGACAGGGCTTCCTAGGGAGCCAGTCAGCTGGGTAGGGTAGGGCCAGAGGAGCTCCCCAGCCCCTAGTGGGCAGCCCTGAGCCCCTTGACCTGTGCTGAGCAAGGCATGAGCAAGTGGTGACCCTGGGGTCTTTGATGTCTTGGCAGTTTGACCATCTGTCCCAGACAGGCCACCCCTTTCCAAAATTTCCTCTCCTGCCAGCACTGCCCCTCTACCACCCGTTGCTATGGCACATCCATCCTGAAGCCAAGATGGAATGATTGTGGTCCTCCCCGCACCAAGGTCACAGCCAGTCCGCGTGCTGTGTCCCTCTTCCAGGACCTCACCCCCTGCTGGCTCCTCTGGGGGCATCCCTGTCCAGGAGAGTGGTCCCTCAACAGTCAGCCTCACCTGTCAGACCAGGGTTCTCCCGGATCTGGATGGTACTGCCCTCTCAGCTGTGGGCACAGGCACGGGTGGGGCGGGGCCAGGCTGCAGAGCATGTGCTGGATCTGTTCTGTGTGTCTGTCTGTGGGTGGGGGAGGGGAGGGAAGTCTTGTGAAACCACGGATTGCCGACTTTTGTGTGCAGAATCGTGTTCTTGGAGCAGGAAATAAAGCTTGTCCTGGGGTACTGGAGTCAGAGTTGTCCAAGGAGAGGGCCTCGGGCATCCCTTGGTCCAGCAAGAATTTCTCTGACGGCCAAGGGACATGTGCTAGAGATCCGAGTGGCAGGGCTCCAGCCACCCTTGGAGCTGATGTTGCTGAGGGCTAAGGGCTTCCCTCTCCAGTCCCCACTCCAGGCTGTCAGATCCCACATGGGGAAACCTGAACAAACTCCCTGGGCATTGTGGGGAAGGGGAGGGGTGTGGCATCCGCAAAAACAGCTCAGGGAGAGAGAGCTAGCTGGTAGAATGGGCCAAAAGGGTGTTCCTTGGTGTCCTCCCTGAACTACCATCTGGAGACTCAGTGGGGTCCTAGCCCTGTCATTTTGCTGTGTGGCCTTGGCCTTGTTCATTCTCCTCTCTAACATGAGGGGCTTGCCCAGACAAGGGGTTCTCAAAGGCAGATCCTGGTAATCGCAGATTTCTGGGTCCTACCCTCATTTCTAATTCAGTAGGCCAGGGTGGGGCCTAAGAATCAGAATTTCTAATGCATGCCCATGTCTATGCTGATGTTGTTGGTCTAGGCCCATGCTAGGAGACCCACTCACAGGACCTTGAAGTTCATCTCTGGCTCCACAGGACAGGGAAACACCTTGGATGCACTTTCCCAGATGTAATTTCCATCTGTTCTCCTGGGGAAGGGGCCATTCAGAGAAACCAGGGTATTGTACTGGGTTTTCAATCTGACCACATGCTAGTGAAGGAATAGGCTGGAGTGCGTGGACACAGGGCCTGCATCAGCCATTCCCCTCCCGCAGCTAATAAGAGACCTCAGAAGCTGGGCTCCGTGGCTCACGCCTGTAATCCCAGCACTTTGGGAGGCCGAGGTGGGCGGATCACGAGGTCAGGAGATCGAGACCATCCTGGCCAACCAATGGTGAAACCCCATCTCTACTAAAAAATATATATATAAATTAGCCGGGCGTGATGATGTGTTCCTGTAGTCCCAGCTACTGGGGAGACTGAGGCAGAAGAATCACTTGAACCCAGGAGGCATAGGTTGCAGTAAGCCAAGACTGTGCCATTGCACTCCAGCCTGGTGACAGAGTAAGACTCTGTCTAAAAAAAAAAAAAAAAAAAAAAAAAAAGAGGCCTCAGAATGGCCGGCTGCCAGTGGCACCTCGTCTGGGAGTTAGTTGTGCCCTCTGGGGCTCTGAGAAGGAAAGATGTGACCAAGGTCACAGTGCCCTCTGGAGGTCATTCTAAGTCCGCTGTCTTGGGAGGGCAGCAGTCAGGGCCCTTGAGGCCCTCTTGAGGAGAGGAGAGTCCTGGCACCGGGGTAAGGTGGTTTTGCCACCCCCCAACTTTTCCCCCTGCCCAGCAGTGCTCAGCAAGGACTGGTCCCCTCACACTGCAGCGCAGAGCTGGGCAGGGCTGAGAAGCTGTTTGGTTACAGCTCACCTTGTAAGAAGTGACCCAGCTTCTTTCTCCCACACCATGCTTCCAGGAACCATCTCCCCTCCAGACCACCCTCTGCTCCCCACTCTGGACGCTTGAGGCTGCTGGCACTGGAGTGTTCTCCCACCGGTGGATGCCCATCGGATGCCACTCAGCCTCCCACAGTACTGTGGAGGCTGCAGGAAGGGAGGAGGGAGCAATGGGGCCAGAGGCCCCGGGCGCCTTCCCACCTGCCCTGGCCAAACTCTCAGCAGGCACCTGGGGGCACTTTGACCCCCTTCCTGCTCCTCTCTGCCTGTGGAGAGCCAGATGCTGCCGACAGCTGGAGGGCCTGGCCTGCCTGGCACACAGTTCTGCCTGCACCAGGGGTGGGTTCATTTTAATAACTTCATTTCGCCCTCATGCACACTGCTGCCTTATCCCTCCTTCCTGCCTTCTCCTCAGCTAACATATTTCCTCCCAAATCTGAATTATTTGGAAGAGCCCTCTGGTCTCTACTGTTCTTGCCAGATTCTTCTGTGCCCCCTTGGTCCTCATAAGGGCAAGGGGTCCATCTAACTCCTCTGGCTAAGAAGACATCGCCTCTGCCCCAATGTCGAGCCATGTCCCCATCGTGACCTTCCCCCCACCTGCAGTCATGACAAAGTGCTCTGGCCTCCCACTTTTGCCATACACACACTTACAGGAGATCCCTCTGAAGAAACCTGTCCCCAGCTCTGCCCGGACGGCAAAGGACCAGGTCCTACTCACACCCTAACCCTTTGGCCTCCCCCATCCACTGCCCTACGAGGCAGTCTGAAACGCCCTCAGACCGTTTAGCAGTCCCGTGGTCCTGCATCCCAACCCCTCAGCCCAGCTGGGGGCTAGGGGCCTTGTCTCCATCAGTGGAGCCTCTGGGACAAGTTTCCCAGACTAGGGGCTCTTTAAGGACACAGCTTGGATCTCTGTTATCAGGCTGGGGAACATCTAGGGCCAGGGGCCATGCCTCTCTCATCAGATTGAGGACTCCCTGATGTCGAGGGCTGGATGGCCTTATAGACTGGGGGTCCCTGAGGGCAGAGGCTATGCCCCCTTCCTCAGACCAGAGTCTCCCTGAGGGCAAGAACTGTGCAATAGATGGGAGGGGCAGCTTGCCTCTTCCTAAGCATCAGAGCACCTGGAGGCTGCCTCTGCCCTTCAGCTTTGCTCAAAGGTGCTGTCTGACTCTTAGCGTCCCCTTTTTGAGTGGGGTGAATCTCCTGGCACTCTGTGAAGCTAATATGGGGGACTACCCATTAGGTCAACTGGCAGCAACGCCCAAGTCTCCCTCTGGATGAAGCTTAAGGCAAAAGCAAATGAGTATCTAGGTCCCTCTCCCCTCCCCGCCCTTCTCTTTCCTGGGATGAGCAAGCGGGAACTGAGTCACCCTGTTCCCCATCCTTGGCAGGAATGCTGGTGACCTTGCATTGTGGCGGACTCGGGTGGTGAGGTCCATTGCTCAGAGATGCAGCTGGAGGGTGGGGGAGGGTTTATGGGGATCGAGGTGGCTGAAGGGCAGGTGGGTGTGACCAGGGACCGGTATGTGCAGGGGGGCTGGAGAGACACGATGAACCAGTTGCTCCGTGTTGGGAAGTGAACCAGTGTCACGGCTGAGAGTGGGAGAGAGAAATGTTACTTCCGAAGACTCTGAGTCCTGTGGTACTGCCAGGAGAAGCGGGGGCTGAGGTGACAGGTGAGGAGAGGCACCACCAGCCCCATCAGGCAGAGGCAAGGTGGGGTGAGGGGCGGCACCTGCCAATGATGCCAAAGTCCTGGAGTGACAGCTGGCACCATCACCAAGGCACAAATTCCAGAGGAGACCTGTCACTCACCTGACTTGTGATTCCATAGGGTCCCTGTCTCCTGTTGGTCTCCCAGGCTCAGAGGCTGACCTGATAATTCAAGTGAAGGATGCCAAGTTCGCGGCCTCCCCGTTCCTCATCTCAGGCCACCTGGTTAGGTGGTCCCAAGGGACAAGCTAGGTCCTCTTGAACCGCAGAGGCTGCCAATAAACTGGTAACACATGTTGCAGGAAGATACAGCTGGGTCCTCATCCTGGGTCTGTAATTTATTAGATGTGTGGCTTTGGACAAATGACATAATCTCCCAGAGCCTCCTTAGATGCAAAACTAGGGCTCTGCCTACCTCGGTGTATTGTTAGGAAAATTAAATGAGTTGCTCAATAAATGTTACTTCCTCCTGTCTCTTTCCTAAGGTGGGTTGATGTCTGCCTTGGCCTTGCTCCTGGTGTGGACTGTGGAAAGGGTCCCAGGCTGGAAGGTAGGAGGCCTAGATTCCTATCCTGGTTCTGCCCCATGATGCATGTGGCAGAGATTGCTAATTGTCCCATAATACCCGTTTTCCCTTTCTCCATAGGAATGGGGTTCTCTGTTTGTAGCTCTGTTTGTGGCTGCCTGAAATAACTACTATTTCTCAGCCTCCCGAGATGTGGTCATGTGGCTAAGATCTGGCCAGTGACATTTAAGCCAAAGGTTTAGATGGCACCTTCCAGAAACTGTCAGACAGCTGATGTGCACTCTTTGTCCCTTTGTTCCACTCTATCCTGTGGCCTGGAATAGGTACAAGACTGCTGCCATCTTAGACCAGGAGGTAAGAGCCACACCCTAGAAGTGGCAGAGCAGTGAGTTGGAAGAAGTCTTGGTCTCTGGGAATGTTGTGGAATAGAAATATCATTCCAGGGCCAGGCATGGTGGCTCATGCCTCTATAATCCTAGCACTTTGGGAGGCTGAGGCAGGTGGATAACCTGAGGTCAGGAGTTTGAGACCAGCCTGGCCAAAATGGAAAAACATCATCTCTACTAAAAATACAAAAATTGGCCAGGTGTGGTAGTGCACACCTGTAATCGCAGCTACGTGGGATGCTGAGCCAGGAGAATTGCTTGAACTCGGTGGGGGTGGGGGGGAGGCGGGGCAGAGGTTTCAGTGAACTGAGATTGTGCCACTACACTCCATCCTTGGCAGAAAAGCAAGACTCCATCTCAATTAAAAAAAAAAGAAAAGAAAAGAAAGAAATATCATACCAGCCCTAGGCTGCCTGCCTTCAGACTTCGATGTGAGAGAAAAATTAAAGTTTTATCTTATTTAAGTCACTGTGTTTTGGGTTTCCCTTTCCTGCAGTTAATTCTCGCTCCACCTAAGTCAGTAGATGCATTTGAGCACTTTACTTACATGGTCTCGGTTTCCTCATCTATGGGACTGAGAATGCTTACATATTTTGCCACACACCAGAGAGGTTTTAAAGATTCATAGGTGGCCGGACATGGTGGCTCATGCATGTAATCCCAGCACTTTGGGAGGCCAAGGCGGGCAGATCATGAGGTCAGCAGTTCGAGACCAGCCTGACCAACATGGTGAAACCCCTATCTCTACTAAGAAAAAGAAAATTAGGCAGGCATGGTGATGTGTGCCTGCAAAGCCAGCTACTCAAGAGGCTGAGGTAGGCAAAGGTTGCAGTGAGCCGAGATCTTGCCATTGCACTCCAGCCTGGGTGACAGAGCAAGACTCCGTCTCAAAAAAAAAAAAAAAAACCTCATAGGCAAGAATAAATGTGAGAAGGCTCTGGTCCTTCCGTCTCAAGCCCACAGCCTCCATTTTGCGGGGAGTAACAAGTTGCTGCCACATTGTCAGGAGCCCTGGAGGAGCTCAGGAGGATGCTCTAGCCCTGTCTGAAAGGCCTCAGTCCCCAGGTTGATCCCTCACACCTCTGAGTCCCATCTACATTCTGCTGTTGGTGACACACAATCCTTGTTAAGGGCCTGACTGATCCCAGCCAGATGGGATCCTAATTTAATTAAAACCCTTTAATTACCGGCAACAACACTGCTCTGGAAGTCCAATGCAAAAGGGCCCTGTGACAGGACGGGCACCATCCACAGGCAGAGTAGTGGCTGCCCGTTAAGCACTGAGGGAACCCAGGGACATCAGGCGTTTCTCCCACCCCAGTGGGCACAAACTGCATGGAACTGCCAGTGTGGTCCAGGCTTCTGGCTTGGTTTACATGGCCTCGGAGCAGAGTACCGGGCCCTTGGAGCTGTCAGTGTTAGTTTTATGCTGTCACTGAGACCAGCACAGCTGTTCTGGTCAGGTCTGAAGCCCTCCCAAGACCCTGCTCCTGCAGGACACTTCCGGTAGGAGCAGACACGGCTCTAATCTCTCCTGAGTGGCCTGGCTTAAGAAGCAGGAGTACCTCTGCAACCACCAAGGAAATTCATGCCCCTGTGATCAGGGTCTTCCAAGGTGTCATCCACGTGGGGAGGGGTGATGAAAGGGAGTAACCAAAGTAGGCTGCAGAGGGGCCATGTGGTTTCTTGGGGATTGTAAGGATCGCTGGTGGTTATTTTTTTCTGTTTGTTCTTGAGACAGAGTTTCACTCTGTCTGTCGCCCAGGCTGGAGTGCAGTGGCATGATCTTGGCTCAATGCGACCTCTGTCTCCTGGGTTCGAGCGATTCTCATATGTCAGTCTCCTGAGTAGCTGGGATTACAGACATGAACACCATGCCTGGCTAATTTTTGTATTTTTAGAAGAGACAGGGGTCTCACCATGTTGGCCAGGCTGGTCTCAAACTCCTGACCTCAGGTGATCCGCCCACATCAGCCTCTCAAAGTGCTGGGATTACAGGGGTGAGCCACCGCACCTGGCCCCTTCTCACTGTCTTGAGTCTCAACTGGCTTCTCCCAGTAGAGGCAGAAAGGAGGAGCCCAGGCCAGGCCAGAGCCTGCCAAGCCTTGGCAAAGGCAGTCTCAGAAACCCAGACCTGTGAGCTGGGCTGTTTGGGGGATATCATGTGTTAATACACCCTCAGAGCTCCCTTAGTACTTACTCATTCAACAAATATTGCTTAATTAATAAAGCCTCTGAAAGTTCCGGCTGGTCTCCCCTGGGCCAGGAGATCCAGGTGATGAGGTTTTGATTCACACTTGAGCCATAGTTTTGTTTTTTTTTAAGGGGTTTCACTGTGTTAGTCAGGCTGGTCTCAAACTCCTGACCTCGTGATCCACCCACCTTGGCCTCCCAAAGTGCTGGAATTACAGGCAGGAGCCACTGTGCCTGACCTTGAGCCATAGTCTTAAAGCGAGAGAAATGTTCTATCGGAGTCAATGTGACAGCAGCTGGAGTTGAACCAAGAAATCCCAAAAGGAAGGAGAAACTCAAGAGGGAAGAGCTGAAACCACCAGCCCCACCATCCCACATCTCAAAGATTCTTCCAAAGCTAAGGCCAAGGAGGTTATCTTCATGCTTTATTAAACAAGCCCTCCAGCACCAAGGCTTTGGTGCTCCCACCCGCATCATCCTCTTCCCCTCTTGCTTCCTCTGCTGTCCCTACCATTCACAGCCTCTAAAGAGGCTGTTCCTATCCTGGACTCAGATTGTGTCTGGAGCAGTGTCTGGAGTGCCAACCTGTGGATGCTCTGAGCAGGAAATGTGGATGTCTCCTCTAGACTAGAGATGGGGAATAGGAGCAGCCTCCCCCTCAAACCAGAGACTCGCCGAGGGCAGGGGCTGTGTCCCTCAAGACTTCCCAGAGGCGGGGTGGCACACCCTACAGAGATGTGGCTGATAAGCTACCTGCACGCAGGTGTTGCAGCTCATCCAACTCTGCATGGGAGGTCATCTCTGCTGTGCCTCACTGGCCTGCATGCTGAGGCATGATCGCAGCCTCAAACCGCTACTGTGGGAGAGGAAGTAGCAACAGGAAGACAGACTGCTGCATGGTGTGCACCCCAAATTCCCAGGTCCTCCTGGCCGGAAGAGCAGGTGTGGCAGGAAGGGTGAAGGCGGGAGAGGATGGCGGCATGCCAGCCAGTGTCGGCACACCCCTCCTCCCACCTATCCTTGATATTGTATGTTGTCTTCCCAAGAAAGGTCTTCAGAGACCCAGGTTGGCTTCTGGGGCTCAGTGAGGGGCAGGTCTCACCCTGAATCCCTTGGTCAGAAGAGCCAAGGCTTCTGGCTCCGAATCCAGTGACTTTTCTTTCCATTATGCCAGGCTTCCTCACTCCAGATCCCCTTCATGGCTTGGCAAAGCAAGCCCTACTCGGTCCTAAGGAGCCTGGACTCCCCTCACCTTGGGGTGAAGGCAAAGCTGTACCCAGCTAGGATATGTTTGAAGAGAGCTGTGTCTGAGTCTTAATTAACATGTGATTTTTTTTTTTTTTTGAGACGGAGTTTCGCTGTTGTTACCCCAGCCTGGAGTGCAATGGCGCGATCTCGGCTCACCGCAACCTCTGCATCCTGGGTTCAGGCAATGCTCCTCCCTCAGCCTCCTGAGTAGCTGGGACTACAGGCATACACCACTATGCCCAGCTAATTTTTTGTATTTTTAGTAGTGACGGGGTTTCACCATGTTGACCAGGATGGTCTCGATCTCTTAACCTCATGATCCACCCGCCTCAGCCTCCCAAAGTGCGGGGATTACAGGCTTGAGCCACCGCGCCCAGCCTAACATGTGATCTTTACCTACCTTGCCTCTCTGGGCCTTGGATAGCAATTCTTCCCCCACCCTCTCACGTGGTCCCCGTGAGGGCCAAACTAACCCAGTGAATGGTGAGCCCCACGTCACTGTCGGCCCCACCTGCTGGTGCTCATGGGCATCCACAGAACAGGGAGAGGGCTGGGTTTCTCTTTCTTTTCAGGCTAGGTAGTACAACAGTTGAGTGCACAGATTCTGAAGCCAGGTTGCCTGGATTCAAATTCCTGCTCTGCCACCTCCTGACTGTACACCTCGGGCAAGTTATAGAACATCTTTGTGCTTCAATTTCCCCATCTGTAAAGTGGGGATGCTGGCTCCTTGCAGAGGGCCGTTGTGAGTTGGAGCTGTCTCTTGCACAGGGGCAGTGCTCAAGACCACCTGCCCAATGGCAGCTCCTCATGATGCCCCTCCTGCTCCTGCCCACGCCTGGGTAGGAGGTAGGGAGAAGAATGGCCATGGGCTCTATCATTACTTGCTTCAGGAAGAATGTGCAGGAAAAAGCTCCCAGGGAAGGTCAGAAGCCTGTCATGTCTACAAAAGATGACACATAAAAAGGAATCTACTTTTGTTTTCCTTGATTCTGGCCAAAAAGTGGGGCATTTGGTTGCATTTCCTCTGTTCCAGCCTAGCACCCCACGTGTGCAAGCGCTCCGGAGGTGCCTTCCAGTGCACTAAGTGGTTTCATCTGTGTGCTG